GTGGGGTGGGGGCGGGGGCGGGGCTAGAGTGCGTTGCAGAAGGGCAGGTTGGAGGGCAGGCTGGTCCTGCTTCCCCAGCCTTCTACCACCTTCCTCGTCTACCTGTGCCAACCAGAGCAAACCACAACAAAGCTGCACTGTTCTAGCCTCATTAACAGAGCTCCTAGCTGAGTTGCTCTTGCTGGGGAGGGCTGGGGGTGGACCCAATTTTCTTTCCTGACAAAGGGGTTGCGCTGCATGACTTTGTCCCACATTTCTATTCCCCTCCCCTCCTCTGACGACAAGGCCCTTGCCACCCATCCTCTCATCCCCACACTGGCCTGGCCATGATCCTGGGTGGAGGGTGAACAGGCAATGCACGTGGATACTCCTCCGCCACCTCGTGTCCCTGGGTTTGTTGGCACCAGCTCTTCAAGACTTTCCTCTCCAGCCTCCTACCACCTTCCTCGTCTACCCGGGCCAACCAGCACAGACCACACACCAAGCAGGTCTTCGTGCCTGTGCACCTTCTGTGCCCTCCGCCAGGGAAGCCCTTCTCTCGTTCTCACTCCCCTTCACCTGCCGTAGAAGACTCCAGTCATGCCTGCTGGAACTCTCCTCCATCTGCCCGCCCCACACCCCCCTGAGCTGGGTGCTCCTCCTTTGGGGCCACAATGCCCCTGCTCACCTCCCCCACAGCACCTGTCACCTGTACTGTCACCTGCTTGCTTACTCCCCTCTTGCAGCATTCCCAAGGGTGGTATCACCCTCCTTTGATGCCAGGACCTGGCCCAAGCCGGATGCACAGTGATGGTGGTGGAATCCCATTGGATTTATGGAACTTTGGTCCCAGAAGGGACCCTGGAGATCACTGAGGTCACCCTCTGCCTTTAAACCTGTGACCAAGTTGTCACCAAGGACCCAGCTAGTCAGGGCCAGGACAGGGACTGAACTGGGAGGAAGGCAGGGCCTCCACCTTGGGTTTAAGGAAAGTGTGGCTGGCCGTGTCCCGGGGGCTTGCAGGTCCCCCCAGCCCCCAGGGCCTCAGGCGTCTCAGCCCTGTTCTCCCCCCGCAGGCCCTGTACTGCAGCTGCTTTGTCCCCGTGTACTGCGGCCTCATCCCCCC